GGACAGTCCATCGTTATGCACCAACCCACGAAGTCGTAACCCCGCTTAGTCCTCCTGCACCCGTCAGGTTCGCCCGAGCGCTATAGTCCGTCGTCGCCTCACGCGTCAACCCCGCGCATTCGGCACCAGCTCGTCGGGTCGCCCAACTCCCACGTGAGCCGACCCTCACTGATCACGCTACCCCGAGCTTCCAACAACTGGTTAAGAGAGCTATCTAATCGCGCAACCAGAATTTATAGCGTGCATGCATGCGCAAAGAACACAGAATTGCAAGGATTTAGAAAGGAGATTAGCAGAGGGAGCGCCTACGTTCTGCATGGCCAGATCGCGGTGTGGGGGACGTAGCCACTCTCCACGCATCGATCCGAACATGCAGGTCGCAGGCTAACTAGGCATAGCAAAAGGGGAAGAGAGAGCGGGAAAGACGAAGCTCAAGAAGAAAGATACAGTTACAATTGTGCCCGCCCAAAATTACAGTTATTCCCAAGGTTAAGGGCGCCGACTAATCAGAGCTCCGTTGCAGTCGCAAAAAGAAGCGCGCAAGCAGAAGGCGTTGCGCAGCAAAAGGAAATCCTAAATTCCAAAATTCCAAAATTCCTATCTAATGCGAAAATGCAAAACGCACAAATTCCGGAAGAAAAGTTCGAAGTTCCGAGAGCCGTCAAGGGCTCGACAAGATTCGAAAAAGAAATTCAAAAAGAAAGAAGCAAAATTCCCGCGCAACCTCCGCGCCTAAAATCAGAACAAGAAAGAAGCGACGTCAAACATTATTATTCGCGCCTTTGTCGGCGCGACAGCCACTCAATCGGCCATCTCGGGACTTGTCCGGCCCTGAACCCAGCCATCCGAAAAGAAGCGACGAAAGAGAAAAGACGAAAAAGCGAGGACACCGATGCAATTTCCCTTTGATCCCGATCTCCCATAATTGGCCCATCCTTCCCATCTCAGGACCCCTCATTGTCATCGCGCAGAAAATCGCGCGGAAGAGAAATTGGCTCGTCACAACACCGTCCTGGAAAGATATTTCCAGGAAGCCGAGCAGTGGGGTCCGACTCTAAGGCCTTTGTCAAATTCAAGATATCTAGTGGAGACTGCCCAGCGGAAAACAGATCGGCTCTTTTCATTAAACCACTAGTACCTCCGCCAGTGTCGGGAAATTAAGATGTTTTGCCAGTTCCCGAAGTTATCGGGGGGTTGGGACATAGGGGCGCCACTGTCCCATAAATCAGTTTGTTTTTTTTTTTTTTTTTTTTCTTCAAAAGCTATGTTCTTCTCTCACTTTCACCTCACACTACCTGCCTACCACTACTCCTAATTGTAGGCATACACGGAACCCCATAGCAGCCAGAACCTTGTTCACCAGAGAACATGCGGGGCTGCTCCCGACCTACAGGTGGGCGATACCGGCTAGGGGACAGCCCGTAGCATCAGGGACCATGCCAACAGGACCAATCCCTGTGCCTCCCCTCAGGTCCCCTCCTCCCCTACGAACATCAGCAGACTCTGCTCAATGCCGATTGGGGGATCCAGTGGTCTATCTCTAGGTGGCGGGCGCCAAGTATGCCCAGCAAGGTACATATATTGCCCGGGAGTGAAAGAAAAAGGAAAAAAAGAAAATGCTATCTTTACTGCAATGATGTCTGGCAGGGTAGTCTTGGAGGCCGTGCCCAGAGTCTTCCTCCACAGAATGCACCTCACCAGTAAGTCCCCTGCCAATGAACGAGGCAGGGCGGAATCCGTGAATTGCTCAAGCTCTCCGTGATCTGCTGAAGCTGTGGTTTCTTTTTCTTTTCTTTTTTTTTCTTTTTTTTTTTTGTGCTGGAAACCAGGTCCAGCGTCCTCCACTCTTCCTAAGTAAACTCTTCCCAAAATATAAAACCTGAAGCACATGAAAGCACAAGAACGCACAATACTTCTATCCCATTCACGTTACTACTCCGTCCTGTACGAATCAGTTTATTCTCACCAGTCCCATTGGTCGAAAATGACCTATCAATAGACTCCACTATCTGTAGACCCTCCACAGAAATGCTCAGATGTCCCTCTGTAGAGACTGATGCCCAGACGCTCTTCTTTGCCCAGGAGTGGCGAAAGCTTAAGACTTTGCCACTTCTGCCTTTGGAGACACGCCAATCTGAACGAATGGCTAGCCGGACTTGTTCTTTGACTAGTGCTATCTGTTGTTGGGGTGACATTTTCTCTCCCCTAAATACCCTCGCATTTCTTGCCTTCCAAATTATACTCATCACTGCCCCCCTGCAGACAAAGGCTACGTACCCCCAACCTGACATGAAATTTGTCTTCTGTGGAGGGATGGCGTGTAAGGACCAATCTTCTGTCCATTCCCATTCATTCCCCACTATATTTTGCCAGTGGTGCTTCCACCACCGCCAGAGTTCTTCTGCCAGTGGACAGTGAAGCCATAGGTGGGTGCTGGTTTCCCAGCCCCAGTCACATCTCTGACACTTGGTGTCCAAGGAAATGCCCTTCAACTCCAAGCTGGTTTCCCAGCCCCAGTCACATCTCTGACACTTGGTGTCCAAGGGCATGCCCGTCAACTCCAAGTTTCCAACCATACTGCGGTCGCCGTGGCTGTCGTCGTGGCCCGCATGGCTTGTAGCCACAGTATACCTGCATGTCTCTGAGAAGGTATCCTTTTCAGGATCACCATATGTCTTTGAAGTCGGGTGGTTTACACAAAGAGCCCACCTGTTTTTGGAATCTCTCCAGTGCCAT